TTATTTTAGTGATATTAGGGCATTATAAAACAGAAGGAGGAGACTATTTGTAAAAGAACACCTAAATCATATGAAGAGGCTAACAAATACAGCCAGAAATATACAAACAGGAGAGGATAACATTGATGAATAGGCCCTTCTAAACATAAATCCCTATGAGCATCAAAACCTTTTTCCAACAAAGTAAAAAGAAAACCCACAGACTGGGAAAAATATTTGGCAATATCATCTCAGACAAGAGTTTCATAACAAAAGTTTATGAAATACTATAGAGCCTCCACAAGGAAAAGACTGATAACCCAATTACAAAATGGGAAAAAGACATGTAAAGACTTTTCACAGAGGAAGACATTCGGATGGCCAATAGACACATGATGAAATGTTAAAAAATCACTGGCAATAAGGGAGATGCACAACAAAACCACAATGAAATATCCATCTCACTCCAGTAGCAGTGGCAAAGTTTAGCAGGACAGCAAGCAATAAATGTTGAAGAGGATGCAGAGAGATGGGAACTCTCATACACTGTTGGTGAGATTGTGAAATATACAAGCACTCTGGAAGGCACTCTGGTGTTTCCTCAAAAAGCTGGACATAGAAATTCTATATTATCTAACTATTCTGCTAGGCATATACTCTGAGAAAACTAGAACTGAGATAAAATTGAGATTTGTACACCAATGTTCAAAGCAGCATTATTCACAATTGCAGGAACATGGAAACAGCCCAAATTGTCCAACTATAACCGAATGGATTGAGATACCTGATGGAATACTATGCAACACTCAGGAGCAACAATTTAAAAAATTACCTAACTTGGGAGCCATGGACTTGCTCACCAAGTTGTGCCAAGAAATCTGGAGAACAACCACTTGGCCAACTGACTGGAAGAGATCGATATTTGTTCCTATCCCAAAGAAAGGTGACCCAACAGAATGTGGAAACTACAGAACAATCTCACTGATTTCACATGCAAGCAATATTTTACTGAAGATTATCCAAAAACGACTGGATCAGCAGAGAGCTACCAGAAGTCCAGGCTGGGTTTAGAAAGGGTCGTGGTACTAGGGATATTGTAGCTGATGTTAGATGGATCTTGGCTGAAAGCAGGGAATACCAGAGGAATGTCTATCTGTGTTTCATTGACTATGCAAAGGCATTTGACTGTGTAGATCATAACAAACTATGGTTGACTCTGAGAAGAATGGGAATCCCAGAACACTTGATCGTTCTAATGCGAAACTTATACTTGGACCAGGAGGCAGTCGTCAGAACAGAGCAAGGGAACACTGCATGATTCAAAATTGGGAAGGGCGTACGCCAGGGATGCATCCTATCTCCATACCTTTTCAATCTATATGCAGAACAGATTATCAGGGAGGCTGGGCTCTATAAGGAGAAATGTGGGGTCAAGATTGGTGGACGATTTATCAACAATCTGCGTTATGCGGACGACACAACCCTGCTTGCTGAAACTGAGGAGGACCTGAAGCGCCTGCTGCAGAGTGTCAAGGACTGCAGCCTACAATATGGATTGAGGCTCAATGTCAAGAAGACAAAGATTCTCACCACTGGACCAATTGGCAGCATCAGGATGGATGGTAAAGAGATTGAGATTGTACACAGCTTTGGTTTGCTTGGCTCCATAGTCAACAGTCTTGGCACCAGCAGCCAGGAAATTAAAAGGGACACTGCCATGGGAAAGTGTGCTGTTAGGGACCTCTCCAAAGTACTGAAGAGCAATGGTGTCTCTCTGGAGACTAAGGTGCATCTGATACAGGACACGGTCTTTGCAGTCACTTGTTATGCATCAGAGAGTTGGACAATGACCAGGGAGGATAGAAGGAGAACTGATGCCTTTGAGCTGTGGTGCTGGAGAAGAGTTTTGAGAATACCATGGACTGCTAGGAAAACAAACAGATTTGTCCTGGAAAGAGTTAAACCGGGTGGCTCCTTGGGGGCAAGGATTCTGGGACTCCGTCTAACAAACTTTGGACATGTTGTGAGGAGAGACCGATCCTTAGAGAGGGACATCATGCTTGGGAGGGTGGAGGGATGGCGCAGGAGAGGAAGGCCCTCTATGAGGTGGATTGATTCAGCGACTGGGATAATCGGGATGGGAGTGTCGGAGACAGTGCAATTGGCACAAGACAGAGTGGAGTTTAGGGCTGTTGTACATAGGGTCACTATGAGTCGCAGGCGACTCGATGGCACATAACAACAACAACAACAACTTGGGAGAGAATGGAGAGCATTATGCTGAGTGAACTAACTCAGTCTAATAAGGACAAATACTGCATAAGATTATTTGGTAGAAAGATAACTAGTGAAACCTGTATCAGGATCCAAGGGGGTTGGGTGGGAGCAGAATGGTGAAGATGGGCAGGGGAGTAATCACAGGGTTGCACAAACTGGCAGGGGGAGGGAATAGTAAAGGAAACCAGAAAGATCTGGCAGGAATCTGAAAAGACAGGGTAATACTGGGCACAGTTCAATGGTGATTAATTTTATAAAACAATGAATGGGGATGATTGCATGAAACAAAATGTGAACGAAGGATAGTGTGAAACAATATATATGAATGAACCTTATAAGCAAACCAATATAAAATTTAAAAAATAAAACACCAGAGCACCTAAATCAAAGCTAAAGTAATAGTACATTTTGTTGGTAAGAATGTCATCAAGACTCCACACATCACTGCTGCTTAATGACTTCAATTATAGTAATTCAACTATCGGAGAACTAGGAAGCTCTGGTGGGGTCTGTAGGAAGTTGTGCTGCCAACCCAAGGGACACACTTCTCTGGAGGTCCCAGCCAATTGTGGCTCCAAAGGATAAAGACAGCAATCTCCTCTGTGCTATTTATAATCTTCAAAACCCAGTGGAGGGTCAGCTATGAGTTGTTCATGACTCAATGGCATTGAATCAAGATGATAAGTGAAGTGTGGACCCAGAAAAGAGATAATTTCATAGTCCGTAAATCTGACTCTGCTCAGATTAGTGAAGAAACATTTGAAACATCACTTCCTCATGACAATGACCCCAAGATGACATCATTCAAAGAGATACACAGTTTTCGCCTCAATCATAAGAAGGCAGCATCTCAGTCCAGTTCAATAAAAGACAAGGTGGTGATATTAAGCCAATTATTTAATTTCTCCTTAGACTGTGTAGAAATACAGGAGACATGGATACAAGAACACCAACTTATTTTCCAGCACATTTGATAAGTTTCTGAAACTTGAACATAATTCTGAGTTTCCTGGGACTAGAAGATGAAAATAACATTCTGAACTTTTTATATACAGATGAATTGAAGTACAAATCACAAAAGCACTGAGAGAGAACTCTATATTCTTACTTAGCACTTGCTCCCCTCTAGTGACAATGATAATTTTCACTTTCTGTAGCCAAGTTCTCATGCCTAGTCCCTACGTGGTTTATGTGCTTTAAGCATCTCCCTCTGTTCTGGAAATGGACATGTGATGCAGGCTGGCTACATCACTATGGCTGGCTCAATGCTAGATCACTTGACTCATTCTGAGTTAAGGAGTTGTGTCCATTACATTTCCCAGAACTACTGGGAAAGAGAAACCCTCTAGGGTCATTAAACCAGTGGGATGCATATCTTTCCTTTCCAATACCAATGAGAAAGCCCAAGAATGCTGTCAACAAAGAAAGTACAGAAGAGGCAGATTAATAACTGACAACTTGATTTAAGCATCTGGATTCAACCATGCTTGAAGCTAGCTGTACTTCTGGACTTTCTGCATGACAGGAACCAATACTAGCTCCCAAACTGTTGTCTTTTGCTTAAATAAATTTAAGTTTGGTTTCTCTTAACTTCTAAGAGTCTTCTGAGAAACATAAGTTAACAAATAAAGGTTAGGAAGTCACATTCCATTGAGGGAACACAAAGTGAGAACATGTCATATCATGGGCAAACTATAATAACTAACTAGTAGCAGTTTCCTATTCTAGATTCAAGAATCTCAAACCCTTACTTAGACTAGAAGGTAGCATTCTTCTAGGCATCAAGAATAGATCCTCATGCTAATGAGTTTTTAAAATATATTACCATTTTTAGTACTAGACACAGTTTAAAATTTTGTTTTGTCCTTGCTGAGATACAGTGATTACAAAATCTGTATGCAAGTGTTTGCTTTAACAAAATAAATACCAAGTCCCTCTGGTGGTTCAAATCCAAGAAATATGGGCAATCTACCATGTGATTTGTAGCCTCAGAAGCTCAACGGACAGTTAGCTATGAGTCAGTTCAGACTTCATAAGAATGAGTAAGGGAGATGTCAAACTACAAGGCAGCTTTGTTTTACTTTTTTTTTTATTCTTTTTTAAACAGACATCACAGGTAACGAAAATGTTAAGATGCACTACAGAGGCATGTAATTCCACTTCGAGAACATCAGTATATCGTTTACTTATAGAGATAAGATACTCTTTCAATGCTAATACAACTAGACAGACTAAACAAACTTTTAGTTATCAATTAACTATGAAAATTAAATTTAACTCTATTTTCCCATAAGGAAAAGAATTTGAACAAAAGTCAATACTAGTATTAAAACACACACACAAAACAAACCCACACCAATGTATCTTATGTTTTCTCCCAGTTCATAGTTGTTTTTGTAACAAAAAAAGAAGCCCAATTCTCTAAACTGCAATTGGCAAGTAATGTTATAAAAGGAAATACCAATTCTAGAAAATTACAGTATATCATTTATCTAATATAGATGAATTTAGTAAACACAAGATTATTCTAAGTTTGATTTTCATCAATCACTTCTAGCTTAAAAATACAGGTGCTCTTTCTAAAAATATAGAAACTGCCTTGGAGTTGTATCCTCTGATTTTTCTGACCTTGTGAGATACAACTCTCAGAAAGGAGGTGTAAAACTCTTGGTGAAAAGACATGAGCAAATGTATGAACAGTGGGAGATGATGGCTATGTAAAGGAAAACAAGCACCATTCTTACTTTAGAAAAGAGGGGAAGTCTTCACACACAGCTTCGCAGCCGGGCCACTTGCACACACCATGCCCATAGAGAGGATGGCTATGGGGGTGCTCCTCATGCGACAAACTGAAAGAGAAAACACAGGACAAAATGATGAGTTTGTTGCCAAGAACCATCCACCAGCCAAAGCCACAGAGGGCAAGTGAAGCCTACACACAAAGGTGTACCCCAAGGTCTTCTGTCCACATGGAATTTACTAATGCCTCCTGCACTGTTCCTTAACAGCAAAAGTAAGACTGTACCAAAATATGTACAAGATGATAAAGTAAACATACAAAAATGTTTGCAAGTTGTCCTAAGCTATGCAGCCCTCCACAGTCTGAGATAGATTTCTCTAAAATGCTAGAATTTATCTCTTTATCTTCCTAACAAAAAATTAAAGTGTTTACTTGATTTTGAGACTTCTCTCCTCTTCTATCCACCTAGAGTACTAGTTTTCTTCTCTTCCTTTTTCCTCAAAAATTGCTTTCATATTACTGGTGAATCTTTTCACAGGTTAATTTTACCCAGCAAAGAATAGTAGAGTCAGGTAATTTTGAAAAAAGAAAACAAACAAACAAACAAAAAAGCCAATAAATATATCCGAGTGAGTGGTGAGCTTCTTCAAGAAACTAATAATGGTAGAACAATGATAATCTTGAAACTGCTGATATCAAGAACAAGGGAAGACTTGTTGATGAGCACAAAGGCCTAAACTCTCCAACAGGGTGCCAATCAATACCTAATGATTTGGACACGTGGATTCAGGTCAAGGAATGATTTGATCCACTCATGTGCTACACTCACTGATTAACCACATCCTCAATTACCTTCTGCTAGAGTTCTGAATCCAGACTTCTCTCAGACAAATTATTTTTACAGTCATTTCTACATCCTTCATTTCCATCAAACAGAAATGGAAAGAAAGCTAATACACTGATAGTTTTGTACTTGCATGTATTACCTCTATGGTCAAGGTGATTTTATCCTTTACTCCACCACCAGTTCTGCATGCCTTTGGACTTCAGGCACAATGCATTCTGAGCGTGCATGCACATGCACATGCTTGTGCACAAGCACGAGCCCAAGCAGACAGAGACTGGGCAGAACCACGTATTTTGTATTACCATTAAAAATATGAATGGCTGTATTTTATTGGCCCAGCTCATGGAACACATACCCTTGGTGCCACTGAACCAGTTCCAACTTATATAGAACATCCACTGGATTGCTGAGGTTGGAAATCCTTATGGATGGAAACAGCTCATCTTTCTTGTAGATGTAAGTCAGTGGAGTTGAACTGCCAGCCTTTCAGTTACCAGCCTACATTACATACTACATACATCCCCATGGCTTTGTGTAGAGCACATATCCACACAAATACCACACAACTCAGACTTCTTATTAATCCATAATAAACATATTACAAGTACTGGGCAGTAGCAGCAAACTGACACACCAAACTACAACTACTAAACATTATTACGTTTCCCTACAGAATTAAAACAATTTTGTTGGAACTCTAATATAATCTGAAGATATTCTCAACTTCATTGACTCAGAGCTGAGCCTCCAGTGGGTTTTCAGGAGCTGTAAACTGCCCAGGAGGAGACTGTCCACCTTTCCCCTGCTGACCAGTGAGGTAGTAGATTTGAACTATGAGAGAGGCAACGCCTCTGGATTAGTAGCAGAACTCCTAACAGACTGTGCCACCAGAGCTCCCTACTGTGAAGGCAGTTTGAAGCTATTCTATCAAAAACTAACAATATAAATTTGGGAACATGAAACCAACCAAAGCTACAGAAAGCAAGCTTGTCTAGCAGCCCTGAAAGCTATCTCTCATAGGAGAAAAGGATGGAGTGAGACCTCAGGTTCCAAGTCAATAGCAAAGACTGACTGATGGCTGCTCTCAAGACACAGGGTATCAGGGGAGCTCTGATGGCCTAGTGGAAAGAAGCTGCACTGCAACCCCGAAGGTACACGGTTCAAACCCACCAGATGCTCTGCTGAAGAAGGAAGGGCAATCTCCTCCTATACCAGTCAGATCCAATTTGACAGTATACACACAAAAAAATAATAAAATAAAATAAAAAAAAAAGAAATAGGGTATCAACCCTAGCTTTCCTACACAGTTTGTGGGATTAGTTAATTTGGAGAGAGCTCTGGTGGTTTAGTGTTAACAACATGTACTGGCAACCCAAAGATAAGCAGTTCTAATCCATTAGCTGCTTGTTGAAGATAGATGGGCAATTTCCTCCTCTGTGATTTATAGCCTCTGAAAACCTGATGGAGGGTCAGCTGTCAATTCCCACTTGATGCCACACAACAACAGTTAATTTGGGATCCAGGAGCCTCCTCTATTTAGTCAGGATATAAGAGTAAAAACTGCAAATGTAGCTGGTACTGGGCTTCTTGAAATAAGTCAAGAGTGTTTAAAATATAATAAGATATAGCAACTAGAATAATAAATAACTGAGAATTAAGTTTACATTACTTAAAATGATGTGTGCTTGCCTGTCCCCTCTTCACTGGTCAATTTATTTGTGTAAGAGATCTGGAGGCTGAATAAAAATTTACTTTAAGAGTTTTGTAGTTCATCCTGCCGTGTACAACTGAGTGGGAACCAACTCATAGCTGACCCTCCAGTAGGTTTTCAGAGGCTGTGAAAATTAAGGGAGGAGCCATTCCCTCTTTCTCCTGCAAAGCTGCTGGTAGATTTGAGCCATCAGTCTTTGCACTGGCAGTGAACTCCTTACCACTAAAACACCAGAGATCCCTAGTGTCATCAATTCAAAACAAGGAGAAATGAGAACTCTTTATGGCTTTAGAAGGGCAAAAAGTCACTCCTGATATATAGTTCTTACAAAAAAATATTCTGATAACCCTCTATTACTGAGGTAAGTATACTTGGTACGCACCCTATCCTCACCCCAAACCTACTAACTCACCTAATGGGGTCATTGCTAATATTATGAAAAATCACTGTCATCATGTTTAACATATAATTGGGTATTTAAAATACACAAATGAAACACAACTATTTGAAACAGTCTACACCTTTGAAAGAAAAGGGAATGGCTGGTAGCAATGTCTGATGTTTTTACAGTTGTTTTTTAACATAAATAATGCATGTTTCATATTTATGCCCAACATGCCCATTGCCAAGGTATTTTTGTAAGAATGTTATGTTAACTTTTTATAGCCACATGGTAAAGTACCATTAGCCCAGTGTTAATCAACAAACTTTACTGGTGAAACTATGCTGAGGTAAAGGCATAGTTGTCAAATAACTTATAATATGAACATTATCTGTGTAGTAATACATATTGTTGGAATTTTTAGTGTAACTGATAACTTCTGAAATATGTTTAAACCAGGTAGGAAAAAACCCACCATCAATTGTTATGCTAAGACTTGACTTTGAGATTGTCATTAGCGAGTGCTGCACCGCAGAGCATACGTGGCCAGTTCATGTTCTGCCTTCTGCACTGTCTGTCTTGCCAGACAATACCTGCAGACCTCAGAAAAGTAGAACAAGTATCGCTTTTCTGTCTGTTTTCTGGCATTTGCTGAAGAGGACGAGAAAGAAAATAAGTTAGTAAAAGAATGTTGCAGTTTTTAGCTGCTGTTGCTGGGGACCTCATGCACAATAGATTCAAATTCAGATCAGGTCATTATTGTGGTGGATTTCATTAGCTAGAACTTTCATCCAAGTTTTTTGTAGTGTGGAAAGTCTAATGAGACCTGTTCAGCATTACAGAGTTGTGCATGAGGTCGATTGGCTAGGAATCACAACTAGGGTCCTGCACACAAAGTGAGAATTCCACCACTCATATACCAATGTTACACTGAGTTCACTCAGCATTACATTCAGAATGAAAGACAGTAGAAAACAGTATGAGCATCTCATGGTGAAACAAAGCCTGTGAGCCCAACCATTGAAAGACATGGAATCCAGAGTGAAGGCTGCATAGTGGAGTGGACCTGGGGGAGGGATTGTAAAACAATCACTTTTTCTTTTACTTTTCCAAGAGGATAGTGTACTGGGGGGGAGGGTTGGGAGAGGAGAAAAGTGCAACAATGGATGAATGGAAATCCAAAATCTTTGTAAATTTTCATTGAAATTAATAATAATTAAAAAAATTTCAAAAAAAAGACATGGCCCAAGAAGGGCAGCCACCAATGCTGCAAAGCTGTTAAAAGACTATGAGGAATGAAGACGGAGTAAGCTTTTAGAAGATGTAAACGCGTTTGCCCCCAAGGTAGATGTCTAAAACCTGTGGGCCAAAATGTAGTTGGTTTTTTGGTCTGTTTTCTATAAACTTCCAGGTATAATATTGCTATGGACAGGTATGTATTTTTAATAACCTTGGCATACTTGATGTCTCATACCAAATATGACACCTCACAAATGTTAGGCAGATTCATGGATTTAATCGTTTAATAATTAGAGTGTTCCTTTTCATTTCTGTGTGGATATACACTCAATTGGTATTTGTCTTTTATTTTCAATTTGTGTAGGTAAAGACTAAAATGAGGCCCGAGACTCTACTTGAGAAGCAAGTAAAGTACATTCTACTCTTTAATTTTGTTCCTAATATATGAAATAGAAATAGCATGAAACCAAGAAAAGTCACTTAACTTTCTCTCAATCTTTCCTTGATATGTAAAAACTAAATAACTTTAATATAAGAAACGTGTAACATTTCAGATTAGAAAGAGTCAATCTGCCATTAAAAATATAATTACATATGAATGTGTAACAATTCTTCTATATGTAAAATGGTAGTAAATATAGTACAGTGTGATGCAGAGCTGTGAATCAACTCTTCCTACTTTAGTCTTGGCCAATGAAGTGAGACTGGAATAGACCAAAATTTGTAAAATGTGTGTGAACCAGAAAAACAGCTGGAATGGGAAAAATTACAAATGGATGTACTATACTCTCCCTCTTAGAAAACAAAGGCAGTATGTGTGTTGCATAGCAACACAACTTCTTGACTGGCAGAGTCAGAAACAACTGTGCCCACAGAGCCAACTGATCACTATGAATGTCAACCTATACAATAATCCAATCACCTGGAAAA